GTTTACTATTGTGAGCCACTCTTGTATTGGTTGTTACTTGAGTTAGACTGTTAGTTGAGTTATAATTGTGAATCACTCATAAGCTTTGAAGCAAGAGTGAATTTTGTTTGTTGAAGTGTCTACTTCTTGATTGTCAATCACTCTTAAGCTTTTAAGTATAGAGTGATTGTGTGTTTTTGAAGTTTGTTTTCTAATCCGTTTGAATTGTGTTCTTGTCACTATTTGTGACTCCCAGGAAAGTGAGAGGGGTCTCATACATAGGTGAGTCTTATGTAGAAATATAGCACGGGTAGTGATTAAGTGAGAAGTTGTAAACATGGGAGTTTAGCTTTGAATTGATACTATTTAGTGGATTTCCTTCCTGGCTTGGTAGCCCCCCAAAGTAGGTGTTGTTATACACCGAACTGGGTTAACAATTTACGTGTTGTTTACTTACTGCACTGTTGATTTTGTTATATGTGTTCATTATGTTGAAGTCAGATTACATTGTCTCGATATCTCTTAGGATATTTGTGATTTGAATACTAGAATTTCAGAAATACATTGTTACAAACACAAGGTTCAACCCTAATCTCAACATCCCAGTCACAATGGACATTTTCAACCATCCCCTAGTGTGGATAACCTCATTCTTCAATTTTTTTTAATTTTCTTCTTTTCTCTTTCAAGCTTCAAATCCTTTTCATCTACAAATTCATCACCTAACCACTTGAAGAAATTGCAGCCCTTATCCATGTGATTTATGTAATTTCTACAATCCCAAAATTTTCTCCCATAGTTGACACAGTTCACATCACTAACAGTATGAAGGACATTTTCATCTTGGCAAAAATACTCAATTCTCTTGTTTCTACAAAGCACAGATCCATATGTACCAAAGCTTTGGTTGTTTTACATTAAATCACTTATGGAAGATGGAAGAGGGAATATGGAAGATGGTGATTTAAGCGTAATTTGGAGAAGAAGATGGAACACGATGGAAGATGGAAGAATAGGAAGCCACAAACTAATGGAAGATGGATGAATAGTGAAAAACAAATAAGGAAGATGAAGAATAGAAAGCCAGGAAACCTAGAACCGTTTATAACACAACAATTGAGTGTTCACTATAATGTTTGCATATTTGTCATGTCACATCAGTTATAGTTAACGTTTTTCATCCAAACTAACGGAAGGGACCAAATAGTTTAACAGAAGTGAAGTTAAGGGACCACTATGTAACGTTTTTTAGTTAGAGGACCAAAGCAAAACTTCTCTTAAAGTTAAGGTACCTAGGGACTAATTATGCCTTAAAATTATTATTTATACATGAATAAACTGCAAGCATATAACAACTAACTACGATCTTTTCAGGTGATACAATTAATCCTTTAAAATTATATCATAGGTTTAGAAGACACAACATTATTAATGTGTGATTTTTTTAATTCTTTATAAAAGATTCATTGTCTTTAGAAGTAGGAAGTTAAAAATGTCAAACACAAATGTTATAGAAACATATTGATTGTTAGAACGTGATTTTTTACCACTTTACTTGAAGCAGTTTTGAGGGTTGTTTGTATCACAATAAAATTGTCAGTCATCAATCTTACTAGAGGAGAAACTCCAATCAAGTTTGCACATTTATGTTTCCCTCTAATATATCCATCCACTAGAACATTTATAATCTAAGTATTGATCATCTCTCTTGTGGATCAGTCAAGTAGTGCATAAATGTCTCTTTCTTCACATATACTTTCGCCCGACTAAATATATAAAAAAGGACACCTCTAAAAGATTCACGCAATTATTTTTAAGTCAAAAAGCTCCTTATTATAATGGATTATGTGCTCCTTAAAAGTATTAATGCACGCCTTATGGAGAACATGACAAAGCTCGTCAATAGAAAAAAATGAAATCATAAGAAAATACTGAAGGAATGTTTGGTACTTAATTGATGACATATGATGATATACCTTATCAATAGGAATAACTAGAAAAAAATCATAAGCATTTGCTTCTTGCAAACACCAAAACATTGTTTTATATCTTGTGATCACATCATACTTTACTTTTATGTCTTTAATACTTTTACTAAAAAGGGTATTTGTCAAACATGTGGGATTTAAGTGAGATTGTGTTCTTGATAGTAAAATTGTTAAGGTTAAAATCTGTAATCGTACCACTAAGACCATCTAAATTTATGTCAAAATTAGTGTCCTTACCATATATATCATTGTCTTTCAAAATATGATCTTGTAACACTCAATATTGAGCTCCGGAAGCCACAAAAGCATACAATGTAGCCTCTATTATCGATTACAAACCCTGCCTCCAACCCTAATAGGTAAAGAAGCCATCCTCAATGAAATTCCCTGAAGAAAATACATCCACCAACCACAATATCTTCGCAACTCTTTATCAAGCTAAATAGATGTCTCCTTCATGTGAATCAATTTAACATATTTGTAGGCCAACAAATAGTTAAGAGATACCCATGAATGCCAAAGTAGTGTCGATCAGTCTACCATGTCGATAGAATTAGATAAATCTACTGCGAGAATAGCTAGAGAACTATCTTTATATTAATTTCTCAACATCATGTTTACATTGTGTGAAATGGGCTCACCCCCGTGTGATACCCAAACTCGAACTAAAAGTTATTGAAATATTTTGCCACGTCTTCATAAACTTGTTTCATAAAAAAACCTTGGATACCATACACCTCTAAATAGAACCTACAACAATAAGGTGTATCCCACCATTATCCTTTAATAACACTATCAAAAGTACATAAGATATAAACTTTGTCAAACGCTTCGTACACATTCCTCTTAGCCATAAATTAACTACTTGAGTTATTGCACATAAAAGATCTCTTGCCAAAGCATAACTTTCTACGTATATTGTGTCTTATATGTGTTAGGCTCGCAAGCCATCTCTGCCACACAATGTTTCTTTATAGAAATATAATGCACTAGAGAATTGTGTTAACTTCAACCACAAAGGGAGTTTCAAAGAACATGGTGGTCAGTGTGGAGGGAGGTGTCATGTACAGGTGTTTAGCCTCCAAAATTTTCATTTTATCTTAATTATAAGATTTCAACACTAGATGACCTTAACATTTTTCATGCAATATGAAGTATTCATTTACAACCTTACAAAGGCATTGCCTAATGTTAGGTCAATCTTTTTATATCCTCCTTAGTATAATGTCCTCTATGACCCGTATCATCTTGTTCAAATCTTCCTAACACATTATGAACTAATTTAACGTGATTGTCTACTTCTCTCCATGTATCCAAGAAACTCAAAATGTGATGTTGTTACAAAGACTTATGATTCTCAAATTTGCGATCCCGTCTATTTTGAGGCTTGACCACCTCTAAAGTGAACAAGGATGAAGTAAAAAAAATCAAATTCAAATACATACATATTTTGGTTCAACTACCACCTTATAAAAGTCTCTTTCAATGCATAAGATAAACAAATATGACAATTATGCAGTATACTGTTTACACTTAAGATATGTGATTATTTGAATAACATGAAATACACCATCGAGATGATGACATGTCTGACTCATGACAAGAACCATCATGTACCTTCCAATATCTATTATTTGACCACTTTCAACGACTCCTTTAATGCCATAAAATAATCATTGGACAATGCAAATTTGTGTCTCCTCTCTATGCAATACAGATGACGCTTGATTGAAAATTTTCAACAGATAAATTATGCACATGAGTGAAAGAGAATTTCAACATAGTTGTGTTGAGTCTTGCTCTACGCATTCATGTACAGTTGAAATAGAGTGTGTTGTTGTGTGAGAATAAATATGAAAAAAATTGTGAAGCGATTGTTGAGATTGTAATCCCTTGTGTCAAAGCACTGTGTTAATGGTATGTCAAAATAGTCTAATATGTGTATCGAGTTGTATTAGGTGTTGCAGTTTTAAAGTAGGTTGCTTGACACATGATTTTGACTTAGATCAAAATAGGTATTTTGGGCTTTTGTATTTTGGACTTTTGACTTAGGGAGAAAGCTAACCTAAAACTATAAATAGAGGGAGTAACCCCTATTATTGAACACTTATATTCACAGAATTTTACAGTTACAAAGTGAATAAAATTTTCTACAGTTTATGGGCAGAAAGTTGCTCTGCACAAATCACCATCTTCTCAATTTCGTCAGACCCTAATTTTTTTTCTTCCTCAATTTTCTATTGTTATTGTTTATTGATAATAATTTTGTTAATCAAAATTAATTGAAATTCTCCATAAATTTTAGTGGATTTCCAACAGCAATGACCACCTCATCTATGAAATCAATGAAAAACGGTGGTTATCTTTTTTCCTTTTCATTCTTTTTTCTTAAACTTCTTATGTCTTTTGTTTTTAGTTTATTTTGGCTTCCAAATAAATTTATTTAAAAAATAATAATTGATTTGATTGGATTTGATATTCACAATATTTTTTTGAAAAACTAAATTAGAAATTAAACTAAACCGATGAAAAATCAGTTGATTTGATTTTATTCAACCAATTTATATTTTTAAAATTTTATGATTTATATTAAACATAAATAATAATATTTTAAATACACATTACATTTTTATAAGTATTAAAATAAGTACATAAACTATTACAAAAAATAGTAGATAATAATAATTTTTTAAAATACATTAATAATATACTGGAAAACAAAATATAATGATGCATATTTTGGATGATCAATGTTAAAACTGTAATTGAGAATAACTCAACCTAACAAAAACTACTTGTAGGTAAACTTCACTCTCAGAATTCAGTTTTTATTTTCAAGAATATTACAAATAATAGCCAACTTGCAAACTCCCCCACTTGACTCTCCCTTATTTAAGGAACTAAGACCACAATGCCTTAACACAACTTATCATTATAACAACTCTCATATCACTGTGTTTTCTACTTCAATCACACTCTGAGTCTATTATTATTATTATATTGAAAAGTTAGATACATAGATATAGCTACAATATGGGTTGGACAGGAGAAGAGAATAGACGTTTTGAGGATGCACTTGCTGTGTTTGGTCCAGAAGATCCAAACCGATGGCAACATGTGGCTAACGCTGTTGGTGGAAAATCAATAAAGGAAGTTCAAATGCATTATGAAATCCTCAAAGAAGATCTCATTCGAATTGAACGTGATCAAGTTCCACTACCCACTTACCGAGGAGGAGGTTCTTCTGGTATCAATATCAACAACTCTCGAAGACAATTAATTACCGATGAACAAAGGTATATATTTAATTATTGTTACCACGATCCACTGAGATTCAATAATAATAATAATAATAATAATAATAATATTCAATTTTCCAACACTCACTCAAAAAATCAATAACATTAACCATGCTAAAAATCCATGCACATTAATAAATTCAACTCATTTGTATTCGTTTGTCTATGTTAAACTGTAATTAAACTGTGATTAGCCTTCCAAAGTTTTGACATGCTCTGATAGTGTCACATGAAATTCAATCTATCATCAAACTTCTCATGTGCACGTGATTATTAATTAGTTAAGATAATGACTCATATATATAATTAATTATCATCAAGTCATAGATTAGTTAATAATCATTGGATCATGCATAAACCTATGTAGTTTGTCCCACAGGGTCCTTTTTTTTTAAATCATGTTCATCTGCAATCTTTTGGTTTAGTTAAGTGTTTTAGCACATGCACTTGTCCACTTATTCATTAATTAACTCTATAAGGTTTCTTAATTAAGTAAAGAATCTCCATATTAATTCTTATTATCCTGTCTAATCTCATTTTCAGGAGAATGAGGAATCTTAATATCCGTTGAAGCAAAGACAAAAACTGTTAGAAAGCTCTGGATCAACCTGTTTTTCAATTAATTTATATTAATGTGTTGTCTATTTCTAATTTGAGTAATTCCAAAATGTAGTTTGTAACAAATGTTGTATTATGTGAATTAATTAATGTAAGACTATATTAGAAATTCTGTTTAGTTTATTTATTTTGGAGAATAAATAATATTTGATGGTATAAAACAGAAAACAAAACACCACTAATTAATGTCTATATATATAAATGGTTAAGAATTTTTTAGCAAAAATATTAGTGTAGAAGCTTATATTTCGTGAAACTAAAACATGAGTGGTGTGTATTTAATTAACACATCTGTATGAACCAAATATTAAGGTAACATCACAATTTTCTCAAACCTTAAACATTCCTAAAACAGGTTATTGTGTTAATATAAAAAACACCAAATTCTAATCAAGTAAAGTTGCACTACATTGCCATCCTTTGTTGGATTACAGACAAAAAATAATTTGTAATTGTGATTGTGAAGGTGTTTTTGTTGTAGGGAAATTAATTAAGAGAAAATGGCAAAGATAATATTTGTTTTGGTATTCGCAATTGCGGTTGCGATGCCGTTGCGTACCGTTTTGGGACAGGGAGGTTGGCAGGATCTTATGGGACAGGGAGATTTGACTGAGACTCTTGATGAGGCTAAGAAGGCTATTGGTGCTGCTTCTACTGCAGCAGCCGGTCAAGCCGCGTTTGACGATTATTTTGGTGGAGGTGGCGATCTAGGTGGTGCAGCTGACAGTGCAGCCGATGCTGCAGCTGACGGTGTTCCAGCCGATGCTTCCAGTGCATCGTTGGCTGATTGGATAGACGAAAAGTAAGAACACAATCATTGTTTTTCTCTCTTATTTTTTTATGTACCTAAAAATCTAGTAACAAATAAAAATGTTTCGTGTACGTATGTAAATATGTTTCTATTTACATACGTACACGCAACATCTAGTTTATAATGTGTAAAATATTGTTAATTCAGTTGGGCAGACGATGAATTAAACATATTTTTGGTGTTTCACAAAACAGCGCTACAAGCGCTGAAACAGGTGCACCACCATTGCCAGTAGATTCTCCAATTGGGCAACCAGAAGATTTACCAGCACCCACACCACAAGGATCAGAGACAGATGATGTTGATTCATTCGCACCAGGCCAATCACCTGGATATGAATTCAGAGCACCATCAAATGCATTCAAAGTTATACCTGAGGCACCAGAAGACGATGGCAGCGACATAGACGGCAGAAAGACACCAGGAAGTATTCCAATAGAGTCACCAACCGATGCACCTGATGGAGCACCATCAGATGATGACGAAGACGCAGATTCACCTTATGGTGCTCCATCATTCGCACCTCAAGGAGTGTCTGGACTCGATTTTGATGATAATATTTGAAGCAAAGAATAGTAACTTCAACATCAACTAACTCTAATATCAATGTTGATTATCAACATACAGTTAAATTCCTTTGAAATTTTAAACCAAGTTGAGTATGTAACATAACACCTATCAATTTCCCCCCTTAACAAAAATGTGCCTATTTATTCTTATTATCTGCTTATGCGAAATAATTGATTTATTTGCTTGTACTAAGTTTTATTATTATTTGCTCATTAAAGAAAAAGTGAAAAAAGATTGAAATCTAATTTATTATGCCACTTAATCTCTAAATATATTGTTTGCTTCATGAATGGCAAACAATATATTAGAAGGTTCAATATTATTGATTTTTATTTATATAATACAGAAACCCAAAGAACACTCGGATGAAACAGTAAATGATTTTTTCAGCTAAAGTAAAGATTTTAGATTTGAATTCATTTCCTGATCACACAACTGGTGTTAAATTTTCTCATAGATGTGAGATCAATGAGCTACGAGTTTGTGTACCAAAAACCAAACCATTTATATGATCATCTTTCTTTTGGACGTCCACTTTTTTGGCTACCTCGTGTTTTATCCTCGCAACATCTTCTCCAAACCTCATCTCCATCATAATTTCCATTTTTCCTTCTAGAAGCTTCTCTTTAGCAGCCCATCTTTGCAATTTTCCAGAAGTAGTTTTAGGAACACATTCACTCTTAACCAAAACCACCCATCCAACATCAACACACTCTTTCTTCAAAACACTTTCCTTGATTCCTTCACAAACACTCCTTAGAATCCCCTCATCTACATCTTTTTCAACTCTTTGCATCTCTGCAACAATTACAACCGTTGCTAAAACTTTAAATGCTGCAACACAACCTCCTCGTAGTAGCTTCGGAAAATTGTTGAAAACTGCAGTCTCTGTGTAATGTGGTTGAATCTTTTCACCATTTTGAAGCTTTATAGTATCTTGAATTCTACCTGTAACATAGAGATATCTTTTTTCGCCTTTCACAATTCCTTTGTCACCTGTTCGTAGGAAACACCTACGAACTTTGTTTCTGATTCTTGCATGAAAAACTTCCCTTGTTAAAGAAGGATGACCAAGGTAACCAGAACAGTTACTTGGAGATGAAACCCAAATTTCTCCTTCAACACCATCCTCAACAGGTTCGAGTGTTTCTTCGTTAACAACCATGATTTCCATGTCTTCTTGTTCCTCCAGCCTTGCAACTGGTAAAAGCTTTTTGTGAGTTGGAAAATGCGAGAAGCTAGAATAGGCTTCTATGTTATGATCCCTCCATGCAGTTGAGACAAAAGTACAATTCTCTGCTAATCCGTAAGAAGGTGAAATGGACGAAGCTCTTAACCCGAATGGCGAAAAAGTGTGAACGAATTCAACCACTGAGTCATTATAAATAGGTTCATTGATGAGTATAAGGTTGTTAAGATTTGATAGATTAATAGGTAAAGTTCCTTTTTGAATTCCTCCGCGTTTGACAACAAGTGGTAACGTGAAAGAAGGAACAGGAGTGCATGTAGCATTGAATTTCGACATTAACTCAAGCCAGATTCTCGGACGTTTGATGAAGGATGTTGGAGAAGTGAGAACACACGTCGCACCTGATACAATTGTGAGTAACAGAAACATGAGACCACAATCATGGTATTGAGGTAGCCATGAAACGATAGTACTGTTTGGATGAAGATCGTAAGCTTTTCTTGCTGTTCTAACGTTATGAGCGGCTGAACCTGTGGTAACGAGAACCGGTTTTGGTATTCCAGTTGCACCTGATGTGTACTGAACCAAGTAAAGCTCGTCTGGTTTACGACCATTGTATGAATCTGAACTTAAATTCGAATGTATGTTACTGTTCTTGAGGTCGTCCGTGGAAATCCAGAGGAGTGTTTGTAACATGTGAGCTAGTTTATTGTTGTGGGATGAAGTGATGTAGTGATGAATGGTTGAAATGTAATTGGGGTGAGCTATGGCAGCTTTTGGTTTAGTTTGCGAGATGACCCTAATGAGATGATGGTAGTTTTTTTCATTAGTGAAAGAAGGGTGAGGAGGGATTATAGGGACAGTTAAAAGACCAGCTCTTTGACAACCGAAAATGACCTTAACGAGGTCGAGCCCCGGAGAGCAAAGAATAAGGACAGTGTCATCTCTTTGAAGTGGAAAGAGTAGTTGAGTTGAGATTATATCTACTGAGGTATTGAGTTCTCCATAGGTGAGGTGAGTAGTGGAAATGGTGTTCAAGTAATCTTCGGCCCAAATGAAAGCTGGTTTGGACTTGAAAGATGGTAACCTGGTCCAAACTGGGAGGTATTGGTCAACCACGGGTTGGTCGGGAAAGAATGGATCATAATTCTCGTACTCGTACTGCATTTTTGTTGTTTGTTCTTTTCTATTGTTGTTGCTTGTGAAATCTTGTAGCTTAATCTCTTGCTACTTATAGTTAAATCATTTAGATGTAGATAAAGACTAAGTGAAGATTACAAAGACTAGAAAAAGGCATAAAGGAACATTCTGTGAGAATATCCCACTGAGTTTTGAGACCTGATAACATAAACCGTGGCTTTGCTGTTGTTCCATTTGAGTATTTCATCTCTTCCCTCAATTTATGTTTTTTTATATTAATGGTTGGCTGTCTCTCACCTTCATCTTGGCAGGCCGCTTGTATTGTTGTGCATAGCATTGTAATGAGTTGTCCCATCAATAGAACTTGCTTCAACTTTGCATCTCCAATGGCTCCGCTTTCACATACAAGAACTGCCATTTTGTCAAAGATCAAACATACTTCATAATGACGTTTATTATGGACTTGTTAAATAAATTATGACCAATCGAATTAATTGTATTAATTTAAAGACTAACACGAATTCTATCCAATTAACGCAAAAGTGTGCACTAACAAGACATGAAATAAGGACTCATACATTAGTTACAAGGTCCGAAGTCCAAATCACAAATACCTACCAAAAAAACGACTTGACAACTTGAAATTGGCCTCTGAACATCCATTACATTTGGTAATAAACAAAACAAAATTAAACACAAGGTTTTACTAAACACAAGGTAAGTCATACACTAATCCTTCAATGCAGTATCCAAGTTTCGGTCTAAAATCTATCCTTAAGTATGCATGAGTGCCCAAGCGCAGGCCAAGCCCGATGATAATAACTTCCTCAATTTCTTCAGCAATCACTGTCCCCAAGCGCAGGCAGCCCTACAAGAACCAGCATCAGAAAGCAAGATGAGATATGTGTCATAACTACATTATTACCTTAAGAGATAATTAATTACAAACCTCAAAGAAGAACGCACAGAATGGAAGGAACAAAAGCCATAAAAATGTTCTTTTATACAATGAATTCACAGACCTCTCCTCCTTCAGACTAACTGAACTCGGCAGATATTATTATAAAACACAGATAAATGAAATCTAAATGAAATATTTGGGGCAGTTGACACCATCGAAGCACATGCTAGAAGCACATGCTAGAACATACGCCGAGAGTAGCCAACCCCAGATAGCAGCACAGAGCAACCAGACCCAGAAATGGAATGGCAGAATAGAGTATATCGGGATGACGACTACTTAATTATTTTTTGGCCAAATTACATATAATAATAATAATAAATATACATTTAATGTAAAATTAAACATTTAACTAAACACCATAAAATATTTATAAATCAAAGAACAAAACTTAATTAAAAAAAACTCAAAAACAACCAAGTTAAAATTTGAAACTTAATCAACCTCAACAAATCTTAATCAAAACAATACATCCCAAAAACCGCTCCAGGACAAAAACCGCTCGGCTCTGCTATCCCGCTATTTTCCCTATAGAAGCCGCTATAGTGTTCTGCACCGGCTCTTCTCATAGAAGCCGGCCTCCACTTCACTATCCTGCTATAACGCCACTATTGACTACTAACCATACTCCAAAACAGACAAAAAGGAGACTAAAGAATTACAACCTATATAGGAGAGTGACAAAACAACCAATAGAAGAAAGCACTTCATGTCATTTTTTTTACCTATTTTTGTCTACATAATGTCAGAACAATGATGAGTCAAGTTAGAAAGCAGTTCATGTCATTTTACTCATTTCTGTCTTCAGACAGTGAACCACATTAGATAAATGGTTTCTCTCAACCAAATACATGCAAGATAAGTCAAATTACCAGGCCACCAAACTAAAAATTATGATCTGACCGAAAAAGAAATTTCCAAACTATGATAATAGTTTTAACATGAACAACAGGGGATATCAGGATGGCTTCATGGCTGAGATGAAGAGTTGGGTTGTGGAGTGATTAGGGGGTCATGGGCCAGGTTATTAATAGCGGCCACTCCAGGCACTATCACGGGATTCTCTCCCGGTGCGGCAACCCTTCGCTACGGAGGAGCGGCGCGCATCCCAGTTTTGGATAGCGGTCGGGAAAGCTGGGATAGCGGGTTGCGGGAGCGGAGCGCTTCCCAGCCCGGGGCGGTTTTCTGCTTTTAGGGCTTTTTTGGAGTGCAAAAAAATCTTTTAACCCTTAAAAAAATTTAAATTGGAAAATTTATTATAGTCCTTTGTGTTTTTTCCTCTCTCATTCGTGTTTTCACCTTTCTCCATCGCGTTTCTTTTGTTCCCTGCTTCTCGCGTTTTTCGCTCGCTACTTCTCTTGCCCTAACTCCTCCGCCTCAACTGCTTCAAGCTTCTCTCTATACTTCTTCTTCTTCTCTACTTCTGTTTTCTGCTATTCTATTTTGTTCTCTATCATGTTATTCTCTATTCATTGTTTTTCTATACGTTTTCAGGATGTTTTTTTTCATATAATTAGTCCAAAAAGTTATTTAATCTTACTATAAATATATAGGTAGATTATTTATATAATTAGCCCAAAAAGTTATCCCGATATCCCATTTTTGGGGCCGGCCGATCCGCTCCACTATCTAGGATTAGTAAATCTGGTCATGGGTTAGATCCCCGCCCTCGGCAAAAAATCAACAATACTAACATTTGCCATTAAAAAAAAATTAAAAAAATAAAACCCAAATTCACACTACAACTAATTAGGGACAAAATATACCGATATACCGAATAAGATATACCGAATAAGAAGGTAAATAATCAAATCATGTTGATTAAATAACAAAAAGAATCATACAAACAAATATACAAACAAAAACATTGACCTGGTAAAGCAAAATAAGGACAAGATATCTAAATATGACTTGGCTTAGTTCCTTTTGAAAATTTCAAATCACCATAGGTGCCTTAAAATAATTTAAAAAACAATGTTAACTGAGTCTATTCTACAGTGTAACTTCCACAATTAATAAATAGATACAACACCAAACACACACTAGTCTTGCAATGGAAAAACAAGAGAACTCATGAATCTATTGTTCATCAATTCCTTTGAACTAGCAACCGCAATTTTTTTCACTGTCTTCTCTATTAACAAAAATTTATTCCAATTTAGGCCATCATAAGAACAAGTATTGACTGAAACTTAACTTGAAGCCTAATTAAAGAAGTATGATTGATAAATAAAAGTCCTAAAGATTCCATTCCTCATGCAAACATGTATACTTCATCCTAGTAGCTTTCTGACATGAATACATTTATTCATAATTATGTAATAATTGAGTGCATGGTTGAAAAAATCAAGAATCCACTAAAGATCATTAAGGTATAGAAAAATCGTAAATTGTAAGTAGCAAACATTCATCTAAAACATATAAGTTCCCCACCATATAGACAAAATTATAGAAATAACTAGGAAAAATACCCTTAATCATAAGTAGCAAATATTTATTTAAAAAATATAATTTCCTCAAACAGCAACTAAAAACAGAATTGTCTCAACTTAATCCTAAAAACATCATCTAAAAATATCATCTCAACTCAAACACCGTCTAAAAAAATATCATGTAACAAGTCTAAAAAATAATGGATGTCAAAACTCAAAAGCTAATGGAAAGGAGCTTTGTTGAGGAAGTAGAACAGCAATGCATTGTGCAGGGATAATATGGATTGAACAGGTTTCGAGATGAGAAGAATCGAAGGAAATGTCTGAATTTGTTGTCTTTTATTTGTGTTTTAATTGAACATTTGGAACCTGAAAGCTGTACATTGGAATCGTGAGTGCTCAATTAAAATACAATTAAAAGACAATAAATGCCAAAAACCTAACCCTTGTGGCACAGGTTCGTAGTTCAAAGAAAACCGGGTCAAAATCTGGAAGGACTTGGTTGAAAGCAAGTGTGTAAGTGACGGATAACAAACAGGTGTGAAATGGGTCAATGGTTGGGAACAGGTTGCTCAGATCTCAAGATCCCATGATCCAACACTTTTCCTTTGTGCATCAATCGTGCCGCCATCTTCCACTATCTTTGAAACACTCCAACAAGGAGAATAGTCGCAGGCGCACGAGATATCATACGATATCAGGAGTAATAGCATGATCATGTAAAGGTTAATGCCAACTCATCCTTAACAAGATGTAGTAACAATAAACCCATTTTAACACAAAAAAGAGAAAGTAGCTTGATTTTCCAAGCACTCCTTACAGTCTCTATGTCACAAGCCCATGTATTCACTGCTAGGTTTACTTTACTCTGTTTCCTATCTTACATGTTATATCTACAATTCTACATAAATCTTGGCTTTCCCGCTTCTTTTAATCTACAGATAGTAATGCAAGATAATGCCACAGCACATGTTTTCTACCCTTATATATATCTGGACTATATAATAAGGACTGAAAATCCCCCATTCAAAAGACACACAGTTATTTATGATATTTATATTGTTATTTAACTAATCACAAGAACGAAAAATATATGAAACTGTGCATACTATAATAGCAGATTGTTTATTCTGATATGCAATAGTGCTATAACACTGTTAAAGGCTATAGCTGTTATAGACTTATAGCGCAGTTAAAGGATATAGCTGTTATAGACTTATGGCGCTGTTTAGAAAGCATTTTGTAATAAACAGACAACAGCCGTTACAAACCTATAGCCGTTATAGATTTCAGCATACACGGACAATAGTTGTTTGTCCAAATTCTGCTTCAATATAGCGGGATAGTGCCACTATAACGGCTATTTAACAACATCGACATAAACAGATAATGGCTGTTTTGAAAGCATTTTCTAATAAACAGGATACAGCCGTTACACTTATAGGCTTATAGCCATTATAGACTCCGGCATGTCACGGACAATAGTTTGTCCAAATTCTGCTTCACTATAGCGGTATAGTGCCACTATAACGGCTATTTAACAACATTGACAAAAATAGATAACAAGATAATCAAAACAATAACGTATTGTATCTCACTATCATAGAAAATCAAAGCTCAAAAAGGCAAAAATGTTATTTCCAATGACATGTATTCCACATTTTTTTTCTTTAGTTCCTGAATTACCTATAAAGGTGACCAACACATGATGAAATGAAAGCCCTCAATCAACTGAGAAATATTTGATCACTATTGTAGATATACATTACCAGCAACATAAGCAATCTTAACCAAATAAGTTTACCACCTTTTCAAATCAATCTATTTCAAATAAACTCACATACACCATCTTACCCGATATTAAACATGCCATTCATGGGATCCATAAGCTGTTGTTGCGAAGGATGCTGCTGCTGCTGCTGTTGCTGCTGTTGGTGGTGATGCTCCATCTGATGCTGCTGCAAGCCAGCCCCAGTGGCAACAGCCACAGCTGTCGAAGGAGTCCCCTTAGCCTCAACAAACCTCCACATATACCACGAAGCAACAGATCGATAAGGCCTCCACTTCTCACACAACTGCTCCATCTGAGACGGCCTAGGTAAATCATCAAGATTATAAAGAATCTGCACCCCTTTCCGAACACCAAGATCATTAATAGGAAGAACATCCGGTCTATGCAGCGAGAATATCATAAACATATGAACAGACCAAGACCCAATCCCATTCACCATAGTAAGCATAGTGAAAAGCGACTTATCATCCATATTTACAATAGCTGAATCAGAAAGTATCCCATTCTGATACTTCCTAGCCAAATCATGTAAATAACTCGCCTTCCTCCCAGAAACCCCAATTTGCCTAAGCTGTTGAGGATTCAAACGAAGCACGGTCTCCGGAACAACGCCACCTTCTCCCTCACAGAGACCAATAAATCGCGTATAAATTGAAGTCCCAGCCTTAAACGCGAGTTGCTGATACAAAATGCTCCGAGTCAGGGCGAGAAACGGTGTATGGAAACTATCAAAAGTAGGTGGTTGATGAATGTTAATGAGAGGCGATAGAAGTGGATCAGCAGTACGAAGGTAACGAATCGCCATCTCAACCTCACCTTCATACGAAAGCGACCTAGCAACAATCCTCGGAAGCGCTATGGCTCGCTGTTGTTGAACCGCTTTCGATTTCCCACCGGAATTGACTGGTTTAGGGATTTCCGTTTGCGATTCGGAAGACGTCGGATCCGGTGAGACTTTCCGGATCTTTCGAGGACGGAGGGGGATCTTGGTCGCCGGTGAATTGGTGTGTGGAGGAACATTGCTGAGTTCGGACTCGACGGGAATAATAGCGTCGATGATGTGATCGGAAGAAACCGAAACAGCCGTTTGTGGCGGAAGCTGCGGCTGAGATTGCGGTTCAATTTGAGTTCCGGTTAGGGATTGTGGTTGAAGTTGTGTTTCCTCGCCCATATGTGACGGTAACCGTTAGGGTAGACAAGGAGAAGAAGAGAAAAGGGTAACGGTGGTGTGATTATTATTAATATTGGCTAAAAGTAAATAATAATAATTGGATTTATTTCTCACTAATTAATCGAAGATTCCAGAGACTGTGTGTTACTAATATGGAAGGTAAAAATGAAATTAAAATAAATAAATAAAAATAGGTGAGGGTTTGTTGGGAGAATAATGTGATTATAGGGGAATGAGACGATACAAGATGAAACTCAGTTTCTTTGAGAAAAAATGGGTGTAGGGTACCTCTTCATCTTCAAGAACTTGATTCCTTGTTCTAAGTCTTTGTGTTTGGTCGATCTTTGGATTTGTTGTTGTGTTGTGGCGTTTTGTTGCGTGTAACACGTGAACTAATGTACTGTTGGCCCAAATACGAGAAGCCCAACTACAAGACGAGCATCGTACTTGGATGGGCTTATTTCTCATTGAGATTTCTATGGGAATCTTTTAAGGACGTTTTTTAGTATATCTTTATATGGGTGAAAAATTTCTGAAAATCTCAAAATATTCTTTGAATGAATTCTTAAATCAATTTTTAAGAGATTTTTGAATATGTATATTCGAAAACCCCTTGTTTACACGTTATTATAATTTGTACAATATTCGGTGATATTTTCGAATTTGCATAACTGAAATATCTTCAAAATTGATTTAAAGGTTCGTTCACATATACATCTCCAAAATCCTGGACATAATGCTTTTACAGCATAGTTTTTTTAAAAACATCAATGTGTTATCTAATAAATGTCAAATATTTGATATGTAATTCGTTTAAATAATACTGAAATACTGAAATACCAAAGACTGAAAATGATACGAACATAAATTGTTCATAAATACCGGAAATTAGTATATAAATTATTTAGAAATTACAAAACATAAAATAAATATATCGGTAAATAAAAAAGGCATAGTCTACTGTGTGTACCTAATCCTAACCCATGACCCCTCCTCTACCTCATGTAACCCGCTACAAGAGATGTCTCTCTAACCATCCTTTCTACGATGCTCACCGCCTCAGGATTGTCCCTCTCAATAATCCTTAAGTCTAAAGCCCCGTGCCCAATCAATTGTATTCGCTGACAGATCAGCAAGACATTAGTCGCATGGTCATCATGGTCCTGCTGGTTCTCCAAGATCTCCTCATGAGGTGGTCTAGATGGACATCCAGGAGCATCTGGTGTCATAATAGGGTGTGACACTGTGTAGAACCATGTGACATATCCCTCTACATAATGTCAATTATTGGATACCTACATCACCCAAGCTTCCTCTGGCACCATATGATTCTCCCAATCTTGGAAGATGTCATCGAGCTCCCGATGGACAATGGTGTTGGGAGCAACCTGAAGGGGAGATATGGGCATGGTCTGTACATAGCCAAATTGTCGGATGTATCGCTTCAGAAGATACCTGACCATAGTGTTGGTCTTACATGCAAGTCACCCTGAGTATAATGAGATGGAGTCGAATGGGACAATCTATGTGTGATCCTCAAAAGGCGTCCAAATAATGTCATCACGAATAGTCCGATCAAGACACACCCATAATATCGGCACATTATGATTCCCTCTGTGGAGGCTATAATTAGTAGTAGGGGTGGAAATAGACTAGGCTAGGCTATGTTTTATAAGGCTTAGGTCTGACCTACGATAACCTTAAAAGGCCTGAGTATGGCCTGTGGCCTATCATAGGCTTTTTTTTGTCTGACCTGGCCTTTTTAAAAGTCTAGCCTGACCTGAAAGCCTATTTAAAAACATGTTTCTTATTCAAATTTTCAATTAATCCATATTAAGTAAGAAGCCTTATAAGTCGACCTATATATGCATATATAAACCGACCTATTTAACTTTTGTTCTAATATATATATATATATATATATATATATATATATATATATATATATATATATATATATATATATATATATATATATATATATATATATATATATATATATATATATATATATATATATATATATATATATATATATATATATATATATATATATATATATATATATAGAGAGAGAGAGAGAGAGAGAGAGAGAGGTCAGCCCATTTAGCCTTTTTGTAATATATGCATATATAGGCCAGACTATTTAGCCTATTTTTAATATACATGAAAATATAGGTCGGCCTATAAGACTTTATAGGCTGTTTTAATAGCTCAAGTCTAACCTATTTAATTAAATAGACTTTTAAAAAAAATCTAAGCCTGGTCTTTTTATTAAATAAGCTTGGTCTGGTTGACCTTAAATAGGCTAGGCCATATGCCTCTGTAGGCTGGCCTGGCCTATTCCCCCTACCTGGCAGCCCTCGACATGTTCTTAGTATAATTCTGCTCATAATCGAAACTATAAATGCGGTGGAAGTGAGAAATGATTCATCCCTAAAAACGAATAAGAAATATGTAAGAAAAAATTATTAATAGAAAATTAAATGTAATAGTTAGAATGAAAGGTATCATGAGCAGTGTGAAAGAGCCTGTCAGCTGCCTCGTCTTCCATGTAGAAGCTTCATTCAGCTTTTGATATAGGTATACCAAACAACTAGCCCCCAATTCCACTCTCCAATTGTATCAAAACCCATGAAGTACTGGAGATATGCCCTATCCACGTAGGTTACACTTTTGTCCATAAAAATAGACGTGCTAACCAAGAACAAAAAGCAACACCGTGAAGCACACTCGCGGTGGTACTGAATAAAGAACTCATTGCCCTCACGCTCGGAATCTACGATCGCATCCAGGTGCTCGCCATATAGGTCGGCCAGGAATGAGAACTTGGCATGATCCCCATTAGTTGAGTCACACTATTCAAATACCTTTTCTGGTTGAGCTCCCAAATACTCGACCATCCATTCAATTGCCTCAACACGAGTAATACATGAGTGGTAAGTAACCACCCTCTGATAGGAAGGTGTAGAAGACATGTAACTTTGTCAAGTGTGATCCTCATCTCCCCAACATGAAAATGGAAAGATGAGGTCTCATTGTGCCATCTCTCGACAAATGCCCCTTGCATGCCATGGCTAATAGTACCATAACTGCAACAACAAAGTCCGACAAATCCAGAGCCAAGAACGGTCTCCCTGAACCAATCCGCATTGGGATGATGTAGCTCAAATATTTTTTACGTGTGGTTCACGGACTTTATAGGCAGGTGTTCCTGTTAAAAAATGTCAATGTTAGTCGTTAATATATTTGTGTGTAAATCATTTAAATGAAAAAGCATAATAAAATATATATCTCTTCATTCCAAACATGTGGAGCGACATGATCAATACAATAAATCAATATGGAGGTGTCAGAGGGCCCTCCTTGATACCTCTGATTTTGCTGCCATTATTGCACGTAGATGTACAACTGGTGTACCAACCTCCTCGGGCTCATGTGCCCAATCATAAACCTCCTCGGATACCTACTCATTATCCCGAGACGAGGACGCATGAGACAGATGACTCCTTGGAGCTGAAGTGGATCCTTCCGCCATTTCCTCTCGCGGTACCCGACCTCGTCCTTGATTCTCAGTAGCCTGCTCATCTCTCTCACGCCGAGAAGAGGTAGTCTGGCTTGGTCTACCGAATCTCAATCTGGCGTTCGGATTCTCAGCCATTATCCTGAAGAAGAAAAAACAATTACTCAATGAAGGAACAAGTTTGGACAAGGTTGAAAAACTTATAAATAAATAATCCAGGCTTAATTTCATATGTGCATATCTGAAACCACTCAGAGAGGTTTTTGGATATGCATATCTGAAACAACCTGCAATGGCCATTTACGAACCAGTTGAAGCTTCTTTCCCTAAATCATCCAAAAACTTCCCTTTTACACCCAAACAATCACATTTCACAAGTTATACTTCAACCACCTCAATTGACATGATTCTAAATAACATACTTTACATTTATAAAGTAGAACAATTGATTCCGAGAAACTTATTCAAAATTTGAAGCTTTGAAGTGTTGTTGAAAATGTGATTTGCTTCTTGAAAATGTAGTTTGTTCTTGAAATGAGTTGAAAGTGTTGCTCAAAGATTGCAACAATAAAAAAGTTGGAATAGAGAGAGTTGAAATATATATGGAAATGGGAAATTCATATTTTATTTCGAAATTTTGTGTATATTAATACAATTCGAATATTCATATCCGAAAACCCATTGTACTTAAATTAAATGGCTTATTCGGATATGCATATTCAAAAACCCTCTGAAAATGAAATATTGGATTTTTTCGAATATGCATGCATATATGAAAATCCCCTGAAAATGAAATATTTGATTCGTTCGGATATGCATATCTAAATTCAGGGGGTATTACGGGAATTTTTCCAAGGATCTCTAAGAAGACATAAGTGTGCATAAAGAAACCCCCCTAAAAATAGGTGATGAAAGAAGAAAAAATTAAGTGGACCGTATGTGGATATTGAACCAGAATACTCTTGGTTTTGGATCATATTTTAAGGAAAATACCATGTTTTGATTATGGACTGCATCAAAAGATTTTCAACTTAAGACGACGATGGTATAAAAAAAGTTTTGGCATAAAAACAAATAAATAAATTATTCCATTCAAAAATTAAATTATTGATGAATCGATGAAATGAACACTTGATACGATGATACGGATTTTTGAAGCAGTTGTGCGAGATGATTTTGTAAGATTATTATTTCAACGGTTATTTAATAAATTTAAAAATGGATACAATGAATTATCAAAATCGTACCTTAAACTTTACGAATAATTATTTATATACGATGGTCGATTGAAGGAATCCCTTATTTTCCAACATGAATCATAGAAAATTGTCAAACTATATCTAATAGTAGACAACAAATCATGATGTAGATTCAACATCAGCTTTAGAACTAAGCTACATTGAACCTCCATAATTTGAGTCAAATGGTCTTAGAGTGACAATTAGGTAATTCCCGTATTGGGCATATGGTCAACTAG